CTGGAACTCAGAGGTCTAAATACATTTTAATTCTAAACACACTCCTTACTTCCTCTCATTCTCAGGGAATAAACTCTGCACAAAGATTTCTCAAATGGCATCAAGCCTGACTGCCAGAGGAAAATAGTGACTTTTGGGTGACAGCTTTTAACTCTCAGGTTATGTTGTTGCAGACTCATATAAACTAGATAAAGCAATAATGAGGAGGAATGACTAGCAAAACTCAGGAAATGTTCAGCTTCTTTTTCTGTATTGCAGTTCAGTTGCTGAAAGGCAACAGCACAGGGCTGGTTTAGCCATTCCCAGCCCACATAACTAACTGTGCTGCCACAACTTTCCTCTGCCCAAGCTGTGGGAAGCAGAACTCCCTTTGTTTCTTGCTGTGCCCATGCTTGTGCCTGATTCTGATAATGATGATTATTAATCAAGATCTGATCCAAGGCCCAGCAAAATCAAAAGGAGACATTCCCCTCATTTCAAATGGGTTTTGCATCAATTACCAGGCAGCTAATAGCTTCAGTAAAAGAGAACCAGCTATAATCTCATCCCATCTGGGATGCCAAACAAAGTTGGTTCACATATATGGGATAGGGAGAGGACAGAATCATAGAAAAATAGGGCTGGATGGGTCATCTAGTCCAACCATCTGCTTGAGGCAGGATCACCACTTTCCATACCACTGCATACAAGTGCTTGTCTAACCTAGTCCTAAGACAACATAGTCAACCCTGTCACACAATTACAAGGCACTTTGCCCCAAAAGCAACATAAACTGCCACAGGTAAAGGGGGACAAATGCTATCAGTGCCCTGCCAGTGCAAGGGTTCATAGATTTCATAGATTTCTAGGGTTGGAAGGGACCTATTTTATCACTGAGTCCGGCCCCCTACTTTGGCCAGGAAAGAGTGCTGGGGTCAAGTAACCCCAGGCAGGTGCTTGTCTAATCTCCTTTTGAACACCTCCAAGGTAGGGAAAAGCGCCACCTCTCCTGGAAGCCCATTCCATATTTGGTAACCCTCACTGTAAAGATTTTCTTCCTGATGTCCTATCTAAATCTACTCTCCTTCACTTTATGGCCATTGTTTCTAGTAACCCCAAGGGGCACCCTGGTAAACAGAGTATCCTCTATTCCCTGCTGCTCCCCACCCCCGATGAGTTTGTAGGCAGCCACAAGATCACCTCTCAGCCTTTTCTTGTGGAGGCTGAAGAGATTCAGGTCCCTCAATCTGTCTTCATTCCCTCAACCTGCAGGCCCTCAACCATATGAGTAGCCCTCCTCTGAACCCTTTCCAGGTTATCCACATCCTTCTTGAAATGTGGTGCCCAAAACTGGATGCAGTACTCCAGTTGTGGCCTCACCAATGCTGCATAGAGGGGAAGTATCACCTCCCTAGACCTGCCTATGATGCACCTACTAACGCAAGACAGAGTGCTGTTAGCCTTATTTATTACCTCATCACGTTGGCGACTCATGTTTATTTTTGCATCACCAGGACTCCGAGATCTCGTTCCACTGTTGCGGTGCTCACAGTGGTATCCCCCCCCCGGTCTATCGGTGTGTTGGAGATTCTTTCTCCCCAGGTGCAGCACCTTGCATTTATCCTTGTTGAATTGCATCCTATTCTGATCCACCCACTTCCCCAGTCTGTCCAAATCCACCTGAATGCGCTCCCTACCTTCTTCTGTGTTTACTGTACCCCATAATTTGGTGTTGTCTATGAATTTGGACAGAGTGCTTTTGACACCCTCATCCAAATCATTGATGAAGATATTCAACAGTACTGGTTCAAGGACAGAGCCTTGGGAGACACCACTGCCCACATCTCTCCAGGGAGAAACGGACCCATCCACTGCCACTCTCTGGGTGCATCCCATAAGCCAGTTTTCCACCCACCTGACTGTGAAAAAATCCACATGAGAGATCCAAGGAAGATAGCCCTACCTTCACCCTATAGCAAGACCCCCCTCCCCCACACACAGAGTCTATATCAGTATGCCCATGGGGTAAAATTCCTTCCTGATCCCAAATGTGGTCATTGGCCTGACCCTGAGCAGAGGGGCAGGACCTTCAAACCAGGAACCTCCAGGTTTCAGTCCCAGCAAGAACATTGTCACACCTGGTAAAAATCCCCAGCTTTGGCCGCAGCCAACACCCAATGCCTCTGAGGAAGACCAAAAGCCTCCTGAAACCTGTACAACAGGAGGGTAAAAATCCCTTCCTGGCAACCAGCAAAGCCTAGAAGCATGGAAAAAATCAAGCACAGCCTCCATTTTGCTCTGCAACCAAGGAGAGCAAAAAACTCCACACAAGGCACCCTTGAATTAGAGAGCCAGAACTCCCCTTTCTGTACCCCCTTTCATTAACTGATCTCCCCTGCTTTAGTTTGCCTTCATAACTAAGCCAGCTGGGGATTTCAGCTTCATTCTCCTGCTGCTGAACATGCTGAATAATCTTCTCCTGGTGTAGACCAGATGAACTGAAAGGAAAACAGCCACAGCTACACCCATTCTCTCTGCCTTAGTTTTCTGCTTATGGGAGGATGGTGGGACCTGCAAAGGTTTCTCACCTCTGCTTCTGTGACATTTGATTGCACCTTGCAGAGCCATGGAAAATCAGATCACTATCCTGCTTAAGTATATTTCCATTTCCACCTCTGTAGAGAACTAGACATGAACTCTAGAAAAATCTATTTGAGATTTGGAAAAAAAGGTAACTAATCAGTGGCTATGCCATTTATTTGCTAGAAATTGACAAAACAAGCAGTAGCTTTTGGCTTGAATTTAATTAATCCAGGTGGCAGTCCAAAAGCAGTGCCAAAGGACACAGGTACACTCTAGCCAGAAGGGTTTTCCAGGATTGTTGTTATTTTAGCAGGGAATGTTTATGGGAAAGTGCTGCTAATGTCAGAGAGCAGCTTGACAAAATTTGTATCTCATTTTAGTTTTAGGCTGTGCATAAAGTTGATCATTACTAACAGTTAGCTATTGGGGCAATATAGGTTTTAAAACACATACAGCTAGCTGTCAATAATGATATAGTATGAAAAAGGGCACTCAATGCACCTGATTTAGTTGTTTCAAATGCTGAAGCAAACTACATTTTGCCTTGCTCACAGAAAAAGCAAACTGTTTGCTGACTACTTCTAGAGATACTTTCCTTAGAATATTATCAGGCATTCATTCATCTTCTCAAATAAAAGACAGCAGGAAGCCAGTTCTTCAAAGTGCTGAAAAAGATAATTGCTTTTCTCACAGGGAAAGTTTAAACACTGTGCCCAATATTGTCATTACTGCCTTAATACTTAATATGCTGGAGCGCACCTCCGACTACACTGTTACGAGAGAGTTTTTGTTTCTTAATGACAAAAATCTTACAGCAAGTAATTAAAGAAACCAGTAATTTCCATGTGGCACTGGTAAGACTGTAACAGTTAGAAACAGAAACATCACTTTAAGCAACTCCTGGATAGTGCAATATTGTTCCATTGTTTTATATAGCTTAGTTGAAACGACTCAAACAACAAGACTTCTGTCACTTCCTTGATCTTTTCTACTGCTCAATCAATAAATTCAAATACAGACTTTAGAGGCCAGTATGATTGCTGATAGAAAGCTACAAGTCTGCATGTTGATGGCCCTTCTCCTACAATATTTTTGCCCCCTCCTCCCAAAAATTTCAGCAGCAATAAAGAAAAGCCTTAAAGCTGTTTTGCAAAGAACCCCCCAGGTCCTTCATAATTTCATGCTGTCTTAAGCTATATGCATCTCTAATTTAGTTTACAAGGTGCAAATCTACCCTGCCTTCTACAGTGAGATGTTTATCCTGTTTATATTTTACTTTTATCATCAAAGCTGTCTTCTAGACCTGCAGTTGGATTCCACCTTATGTTTCTTGTGCTAATTTCCAAGTAACCATCTTTTGGGTATGATTTATTGTTTTCTACAGAAGTGCAAGACAACTTTGGGGCCTTTAAAACTACCATACTGTAAACCAACTTAAAACTATGTAAGCAGTGGTCTAACAAGCAAGTTTGCAGTTTGGGCAAACCCTGCATGGGGGTAGGGGGAGGGAGGCAAGTCTTGCCTGCCACAGCTGTTGCTGCCACAGCCCTGTCTGCTCAGCCCTAATTGTCCCTGCTGCTTCTGCTCCCCAAGAGCTGGCATTCTGGCATCTCCTTTAAATTGGTTCTCAGGACTGGTGCCCCACTTGCCCATCGCTAGCTATACTGATGTATTTAAGCTCTTTATACTGATTCAGATTAGCTGTTTTAGACAAATTCACTAAAATATCGCTTATTACTAGTAACTGGCCACATCTACATGAGATACGTACTGCACAATAGCTTGTTACTACTTCACAGTTGCATCATGTGGCATGAACTGTGATGTGATGCTACTGTACAGTAATAAGGAGTTACTGAGCAGTCAGCATCACTAGGGAGTCGTGTAGGGATGCTACTGTGCAGTAACACCAGTTACTGTGCATTTAGCATTTGGGTATGTAAGTACTAAATGACTGTGCAGCAACAACTGCATAGTTAGGATCTCATGTAGATGCAGCCACTGAAGGCAAAAACTTTACATCATGTACTCAGACAGGCTGATAATAAAAAAGTGTATAGAACTTTGTTAACTGATAATGGTGATAACTACAGTGACTGTGAGTGCCAGTGACTGCTTCAGTACATGACCCTCTCAGAAAACCCATGAGAGGGTCACCTTAGTTTGTAGAAAAAAAGTGATGTTGTAGGAAGAGATTTTTTATATTAGAAAAACCAAAACAAAACAAAACCCACTTGTCAATTTGCCCAAAGTAATTTTAATAGATTACAAGGTTTTAAACTTCACAATGGACTTCTTTGGTCCATTTAATCTGACTTCCTACTTTACACAGGCTAAAGAACCTAGATCCTTAGAACTAGAAAAATGGAAATCAAATCAGTTGACAGCGGAAAAAAAAAGGTGAGAAAAAGGGAAGAGGGCTGTTTATTTTTGTTTACCTCTTCCACAGGTTACGCTGCAATCAGTCCAGTCTCCATATTGCCAGAAAAATTCTGGCTCACCTATATCATTCTCATGGCTTCCTTCTTTACGTATAGTGTATTCATACTTTATGCCAGGGTTATTCTCCTGAAAGAGTAGCTGAAAACAAAGAGATGTGAAGTCAAATTATTAAAACACATTATTCCAAACCTTCAAAAGCATGTATACAAAAACATCCATGCACATTTAGAGCACCCAGCCCAGCAACCCGTGGCTGACTCTTGAGGTATAGCTAGCTTTGAAAAATGGGAATGCACAAATCCTCACTTGTGGGTAAACCCCATCCTTAAATGTGTACACACTTTGCAAGAACAGTTATGAAGACTTAAGCTGATATATTTTGACTAAATCAACTAAAACAAAAGATTAGATACATGACCTAAGTGAAAATGTAGTTTTTATTATCAGCTATTTCATAGGCTATAGGGAAGGGGAATGGGAGAAGGCAATCTAGGTGATAAAGATAGCAAAACAATGTAATAAAAAGTGTAATTAAAAAGTTGACAAAAATCTACACCTTGCCATCTGCATTGGAACACTAAACATACTTATGCATCAAACTCACCAAAATAAGTCCATACTAGTGGGCCCTTTCTTCTTTTTCATACCCACACTTAAATTAACTTGGATCAATCAACAGAAAATATACCAAATGAAGCCAATGTTAGGCTTTGGACATTAAATAACATAGTAAGTCTTTCCCTCTCCACAATTTATGTTTTAAATTCAGTAAGATATTTAAACAAAACCAGCTCTAAACACAACCAAGAGGGTTACTCCCAAGTGCTTATGAAAACTAACTGGATCAGGGCCTTTGGCTGCATGACTATGTTCAAAGCCATGCCAATGTAACGTAGGGATTTGTGCTTAAGTATTGAAGGGATGAATTACAAACTTATTTTCTCTGCTTCTTTTTTAAAGCTCCAGAACATCCTGCTGTCAGGCAGGATCAGCAGCTTTTGCTGCTGGCCCTTACTGTACCTGTATCCACACAGACTCATTGGTGGGTCCGGATGCAGTCAGATTTTCTAGATCTCCTTTTCTCGTATATAAAAATACCGTTCCTGCTACTTTGTATTCTCCGCTCCACTGGATAATAAAACCCCCATTTAGGTAATACTTTTCTGGGTCCTCACTCCGCACTGCAAGGAAATTTTCTGTTTCTGCCACTTCTATGACCCTGATGTCCCTTGCACCTTTTGGAATCAGCCCAATATCAACATAACCTAAGAGACAAAACAGGTTCATTAGATTATCATTGTTACAATACAAAATGATAGCATGGTACCTACCTGGATATAATGTAGAATAACAGCCTTGCTTGCAAATATGTTTAGATGAGCAAGCTATCCATACATTTTCCATGCTAGTGTCTCCTTTCAACTATAGCTAACAGTGCCTTTCAGTGTAAGGGTTTTCCTGGGGTTTAGGTACCAGTGAAAGAACAGGAACATGCATATTATCTAGGCTACTAGGGCATTAGAAGACATAGTGAGATTAATCTTTTTGAGCTGTATCACAGGAAATCAAAAGGAACTCTACTGATAAAGTAACATGTGGTGATCTCTATCATATACACTGTGTCATCTAAAAAGAGTTACTGTGCCTTGCATTGCTACAGGGGTGTGGAGAAAATCGAGGAGAGTCATATTAAGTTATAGTGCTTCCTGTGGAAAAGGATTTTTGAAATGTGAAGAGATTATTAGCTGTCACCAGTTAATGAGTAGAAGGATGGCCCTGCATATATGGGCTGAGGTTTGTGACATCCGGCAAAGAGCCCTAGATCACCTAAACTTAAGCTTCCACATACATGCAGAAGCATGCCAATTTGAGCAGCTCTGTGTCTAACTCCTGTCTAAGCTCCCCTGTGATCCAAAAGGAAGTGAGACAGGACCTAAAATATGCACTGGAGATGGTCAGGGGTATGTCACAGCATGCTTAGCCCACACAGTGACAGCACTGAGTTAAGTATAGAGGGCAGCAGCCATGACCAACTTTCACTCAACACCATTAGCAGAAGGGAGCTCACCTTCTATATAACAGCTTAGGTATTAAGGCACTAACCCTAGAGGTTAGGAGAGCCAGGCTGAAGGCCATCCTCAGCCAGAGAGGATTAAAGCCTGCATTTACTACTACCCACAACAGTGCCCTCACCCCCAGCTATGGAACAGTGTGGGTGGGGGTGAGGGTATTTTCTATTCTTCCTCTCAAACCTGGCCCACTCTACAGACAGAACTACAATATTCACAGGGCTTGAAAGACAGCAAGCAAAAAGCAGTATGACTTAATCAAAAGCAGAAGTGCTGGCAGCCATGTGGCTAGAGGCTGGAGCTCTCCCTGGTGGCCACAGGGGCACATGGCAGGGCTGTAGTGACTTGGGACTAACTTTAGTGCCAAGTCCCTAAATGTATAGACACCTGCCAAAAATTGCTTAATGCTCATTAAATTTACTTGTGCTTAACTGCACATGTAGACACACCCAGAGAGTAAAAACTTATTAGACTTTATCTAGAAGTCCAGTATAGACAGGAATGGCAGGAATGTTCTGTGCCCTAAGTGATGTCTGACAGCACAGGAAAGATTCATTATCTCCGTTCGCTAAACGAAAGCATTAATGTGAGGGTCATATGCACATTAAAGACTGTGGGTCACCGAGTTAATGTGTGCCATGGCAGAAGACCTTTGGGTGTAGGAACAGAAATTACATATAAACTGGTACAGTGATCAGAAATTGGTTCAAATCTGTAACACAAAAGAAGTTCAGTGAACATAAACCGCTTTCAAATTGGCTGAAACCAGTTTAAGGTAAACTTGGATGGATATAGTATCAGACTTAACTGATTTAGATTTCATAGTTTCATAGTTTGTAGGGTTGGAAGGGACCTGAGCAGATCAACAAGTCCAACCCCCTCCTGTGGCAGGAAAGAGTACTGGGGT